GCCGTTAGAGGCTATATTCTCCAAGCTTGACATAGCCTTCTGGAAGGTGTGAGTTGTCGCTATCACCGTGTGCACATGAGTCACGTCAATGATAATTCCTGACTTGCGTCTCTTGAGCTAATGATCATGAGCTGGGAAGTCCAAACTAAGATGTTCGAGCTAAAAGGTCCGAGCTTAGCCTTTGCTAATCTTGGTTTCATAAGTTGTCCCCCAGTCCCTAGCCAGATAAGCCTTGCCTAATGTGGATTGGGAATGACCTACGCTATTTTGGACAAGCTTAGCTCAATTTTTACTTGGGACGCTCACAATGGGACGTTTCCCAGGATTTTCAGCATTACACGCGTGCGAAGAGTCATTCTTACCTCGATTTTTGCACAAGTTCAATGTCTTTGTACCACGCGTCCAACCGTATGCCCGTCCTAAATGCCTCCGCAGGCAAAACCACAAAAAGACCCTTTGTTTCAGTTTTTTCCTTTGTTTCGAATTTCTTTGCACTTTTACCTAGAGGCACCCTTCTCTCTCTCTCTCTCTCTCTTGTGATTTCATCTTCTTCCTTTCCTTTCTTGCTGTCCAGACTATCTCAATGAGAGCTCAAATCATTCCTTGGTGCCCCCCTTGGGTTCTCAATCGTTGATCGTTTTCGACTACTAGGTATGTCCTCTGTCTTACTCCTTTCTTTTCTTCTCTCTCCTTAATAACTATATGGGAGTTAAGGACGACTTTAAACGGGTACGGCTCACTATTAGACCACTAGCTCGGATCAGTGTCAGTCCATGCACTAGGCCATTGGCTAGGTCCCCTAAATGGGACAAAAATTTTGGGGCCACAAAATAAAATTTTGTACAATTTTACTAGACATAATTTTTAGGCTTAATTTGAAAACTTAATGCATTTTGAACAGTAAATTAGTAAGGGGGACTAACATTGAATAAGTTTACTAAAAATCAAATAACCACAATTTACTTGGTGCCAAAATTAGGTCCCTAGATTAACTACAAGTAATAGTATTGTAAAATTTTTAGAATTTCTTACAAAAATATTTAGGGCCCTAAAATTCGAGTTTATGTGTTTTATCTTTGTCCAATGTTTATGGTATATGAAAAATATGTGTTATCATATAATAAAATATTTTTCTATCTTATTATCAAAACAAACTGTTTAATTCATTGTCTATCAACTAATAATTATAAATTATAACTTTATATTTTATTAGATTAAATTTGAGGTTACCTCAAATTTCTTAATTATTTTTTTAAAGTGTATAAAAATGACTACAGAATAGCGTGAGTAAAAATATTTCACTATTTGAAACTAATTGTAACTATAGTTGTCTAGCTAAAATTTCTCCGTTAAAACATATATTTGGTTCTTTGCAATATTAAAACATTCTCCACATATTCCAATGTCATTTAATTCAAACAATTTTAACTTTTACATTTGTTTTGAAAAAATTCATTTTGTTGGCTAGTTTAAATTTTCATTCTCTTTCTCTTTGTCTTTAATAGATAATTAGATTAATTATATTTGGACAGGATTGACTTTTGCTAATTGAATTTTAATGTATAAAACTTGAATTCAAAAATTCAATTAATATTTCTGAATCTCAAAAAAGAAAAAAAAAAAAAATATTCATGAGGGATAAATCTCTCATAACCTTACTCCAAAGAATTACTAAAATTTAAATTCAAGACGTTTAAATTTATCGTTTGTCCCTGTTATCACGTGAACTACCATCGGAGTTCATCATTTCCTTTCCCTATAATAATATCTGACCAAAACCTAAAAAAAAATGGAGCTGGCACAGAGAGACTTGCTAGCCTTTACAATCTGATTGTAGATCAGGGTATCAAAAAATGTTCTTTTTGCATCATACTTTCACTTTTCAACGAATAAGAATGCATAATATGTACATTTTTTTTATTTTATCATTCAATTAAAAATCAATAGTTGACATTGATGGAAGTAAGATACTGTCTTCTATACTGTAGCCACTACAAGAAAAAAGGGTTTTTACGGCGACAAAATGCTGTCATAAAAGGTCTATTTGCCGTCACAAATACTTTTTGTGGCGGCATTGTGACAGCATTGCCTCTCCATAATAAGTGTGGTTTCAAAAGATTTTTTCGGCAGTAATAATCTGTCTCAAATAGTATTTACGGCAACAAGACCCTGTCGTAAATAAGTTATCACAAAAAATCCGACACTTTTGATTTTATCACGGCGGCAAAAGTGTTGCCTCAAATACCATATTTGACTGTCAAATGAAAAATATTTACGATGACAACGATGCCACCCCAAAAAAAAATTATTATTATGGACCGTTGGTAACTAGTGTTATATACGCTAAGCATATGTACACTTTCATTTTCAAATTTTTTTTTTTTGGTAGGAGGGGGGAAGGAGACTTGAACCCTTGACCTCAAGAAGACAAAGTTTTAACAAGGTAAGAAGTAACATTAGACCAAAGACTCATTGGTATCAATACAACTACCCAATTTATTATATAGATAAACACAAAAATAAATATTATCAACATTTCCAAAACTCAAACACACTAATTTTATGTCGTGTTAACAGGTCATATCATATTTTGACACATCTAATTTTGATATAAAAATTTGACTTTGTAGAGTTTAATTTTTATTTCTTTAAACTAAAAATTGTCTTTTGATTTAAAATTACGTAATTTTATAAAAATATTACTTGTAACATGAAAAATAATTGCGGCCAATACAATTTTTTAAAGAGTTTTTCTTCTTTAAACAATAAACTATTTTTTAATCTGAAATAAATATTTTAATGTTTTATGAAATATTATATACGGTGGGAAAAATAGTTGTCATAAATATAAAAAATTCATTTTGAGTTTTTGAAATATTATTTGCAACAAGAAAAACAATTTTCTCTAATACAAAAATTTCATTTGAATTTATGACATTATTTACGACAAGAAAAATAACAGCCTAATAATTTTATAAAAATATTACTTGTAACATGAAAAATAATTGCGGCCAATACAATTTTTTAAAGAGTTTTTCTTCTTTAAACAATAAACTGTTTTTTAATCTGAAATAAATATTTTAATGTTTTATGAAATATTATATACGGTGGGAAAAATAGTTGTCATAAATATAAAAAATTCATTTTGAGTTTTTGAAATATTATTTGCAACAAGAAAAACAATTTTCTCTAATACAAAAATTTCATTTGAATTTATGACATTATTTACGACAAGAAAAATAACAGCCTAATAATTTTATAAAAATATTACTTGTAACATGAAAAATAATTGCGGCCAATACAATTTTTTAAAGAGTTTTTCTTCTTTAAACAATAAACTGTTTTTTAATCTGAAATAAATATTTTAATGTTTTATGAAATATTATATACGGTGGGAAAAATAGTTGTCATAAATATAAAAAATTCATTTTGAGTTTTTGAAATATTATTTGCAACAAGAAAAACAATTTTCTCTAATACAAAAATTTCATTTGAATTTATGACATTATTTACGACAAGAAAAATAACAGCCTAATAATTTTATAAAAATATTACTTGTAACATGAAAAATAATTGCGGCCAATACAATTTTTTAAAGAGTTTTTCTTCTTTAAACAATAAACTGTTTTTTAATCTGAAATAAATATTTTAATGTTTTATGAAATATTATATACGGTGGGAAAAATAGTTGTCATAAATATAAAAAATTCATTTTGAGTTTTTGAAATATTATTTGCAACAAGAAAAACAATTTTCTCTAATACAAAAATTTCATTTGAATTTATGACATTATTTACGACAAGAAAAATAACAGCCACAAATATTAACAAAATATTAATATAAACACGTTTTTTATGACGGTACACATAGCCGCCACTAAAAATTGTCTTAAATACGCCTTTTGTGACGTCGAACACAGTCGTCGTAAAAAATTTGTCATAAAAGACCCTTATTTTTGTAGTGAGCCTTACTGTCGATTGTACATTCCTTAGGGGTAATCTGTGTCTCAAGGCACAATATACAACGTAAATAAGAAGTGATGAACTTGGAGAAAAAAATTAAATGTGTATTATTTTGAGAACGATGTTGGTAGCCGTTGGATAAGTCTATTTGAGATCTTCGGATAGACTTATTAAAGTCTGCATGTTTTATATTATAAATAATAATAGAAATGTTATGTTGTCAAACTTGTAATCCAAAAAAATCATCCTCAATGAGTTCAGACCTCCACACGACACTTTATGGGACCCAATAAATCAATTTTTTTTTTTATAGAATGTGAGGTCTCAAACTCGTAATATAATTGGAATGAGTGTTTCAAAGAACAAATTGGACATCATAACATATTTCGAATTTGCCCATAATAATAAACACTTTAAAATAATATGGGTGTGTAATAGAAAAAAGAAAAGAAAAAGTTAATACATTGCAAAACAACCATAAAGAAGTATTTTAGATATTATTGAAGAAGGAAGAGAAGGATTTTCTCTAACTTTATTAATCACACTCACACCCATAAAAGTTCGGTTACAACACATACATATAATTAACATTATTGGAGAAGAAGAGAATAATTTCTCTCACTTATTAAGGCTAATAACACTTCACCCCTTGAAAGATTTCAAAATTTTATTTTACCACTCAATAATTAAAAATCTCACATTGCATCCTGAATTTTTTTTCAAAATAGTAGCTTGTGCCCCAAAAACAAGACAACATTAAAATTCTAACATATTATTTTTTCTTATAAAAATCAAATGTTTAACACGTGGGATGTCAGAAAATTTTAACGTCGTCGAATAATTGGGACACATTGCTTTGCTACCACTATTAAAAACAAATATAGGATGCAAAAGTGAGATTTTTTAATTCTTGAATAAGCAAAAATAAAAATTATAAAATATTTTTTTCGGGGTGTAAAATACCATTTGCCTCACTTATTTAATTACTAGATTTGATATAGTAGATATATATTTTTCTTGGTTGAGTATATAAGAACACTAGAGCTCTTCATTCTTCGAGCTTATATCTTTCGGGAGTGGCGGTGGCGGTGGCGGTGGCAGTGGTGGTGGCGGTAACACCATTCCACTTCTTTGTAGAAATTTCTTAAACCATATGGCTGAGAGTTTGGGATATCTTGTCAATGAGCGATCTTCATAATCCACGTAGTGTGTTCCAAATCGTGCAGTGAAACCCAAGTCCCATTCAAATGCATCCAGCAATGTCCACACAAAGTATCCTTTAACTTTGACACCATGCTTGCGAGGACTACAAAACAAACCACAAAAATCATAAATTTAGTAATTCATGATAAAAACAAAAAACTATGAATATGAATATCCATCTATGACAAAGAGGTGGGGTTGTATCCAATGTATCAAAAGCCAATCCATTGACACGGATGAAAAAATTAACGGAAAGTTAACAAAAAAGTTACATTATAACACTTTTGATACATTGAAGGTTAAATGTCAAAAAAATTAATTTTTGAAGGTACAAAATGAGAATCTAAAAATCTTTCAGGGTGCAAAGTAAAATTCGCCCCATTTCTTTTAATTAGTGTCATGTGCTCAACACACTATCATTCTATCAAAAACTTAACGGTCCATCCATTTAGGGATCAAAATAGCACGAAATGAATATTTTATGAACTAAATTGATAAAATTAATACAACGAGGACTAAATTGAAAAAAAATACATATTTTAGGGGACCAAAAGTGCTATTAACCCAATAATTAATATGCAAACTTACACATGTTTATTTGTCATCACTTTGGGTTCGACCTCTTCTACTCTTTACAAGTTTACATTGTTTATTAAGTTAATTTTCCAATTTACATCTTCAAAAAATTTGTTGGATTATATACATGAGAATAGAGCTATAAGTAGTTAGATTTTAGCCAATTCGAATCCGAGTTTGATTTAAGAAAGATCGAAAATCTGATTCGTCTGATCTAAATAACTCACTTAAAGTTAAATTTTCAAAAACTAGATTTGAATTTCAACTCAATTTTATATAAAAGTCACTAAATTTCATCAGATATTTCTAGACGTAGATATACCTTGGACTAAATCATAATTAGATTTCATATGATGGATTCTAGTTCAAATTTAGATAATAGATCAAAAATACAATTCATAACTCCGATTAAAGAGATTTAAATCACAATCTTTATTTATTTCTTTTCATTTTGATTCAACAACTAAGAATATCCAGATCAATTTATGCACAGATCCACTAATCTTTATCTTTATCTATTATTGACAAGCTAAAGAGAGAGAGATCGTTTAAAAACATACTTCATTGCTAGCCGAACGAAACAAAGATGGTCATGGTGGTAATCTACCCTCTCCTTGTCGGTGATGGCATCCAAAAACGTCGTTGACTCATTAAACTTAGCCCCAACTCCTACACAAACAATGGATAACCTTTCATGTTAATTAATGGAAGAATTCAAGGGCACAACCACAATATAAATAAATAAAAATATTCAGTACTATATCGTTATATATAACTTTTTAAGGGTCATTATAGCAATTTTTAAGAAGTCTTTTACAACTTTTTGGGTATTTGAAGTCGTGCTTGAAAAACTTGAAAATATTGTAATTGACGCATAAAAAAGTATAAATTCACCCTAAAAGTTTTATTTTTTGTAACCGACACTAATAATTTTTTGCTGCAACTTGACACCAAAAAATTAACTTTAGAAAATAAATGTGATAAAATTGAGGGAGTTGTCCACGGTACTGGGAAAAAAAAATTCGATACCATAACGATATTTACTATTTTTGTGGGATTTTTTATAAGTATTGTGAGTATTTTTACAACTATTATAATATTAAAAAAAATTATAAAAATAGTTATCACAACAGTGATAAAAATACTTACGAAAGTGATAAATCACTCGTAACAATGATAAATTTTTTTATTGTAAAATGTCCCATAAAAATTATACAAACACTAACTAAAGTAGTAAAGTTTGTTAGTACGACTTTGAAATTTTTTTTTTCTCGTCCTATAGTCAAGTCTGAAGTTGAGTGTAATACTTCATTCGGTATCAAAGTCAAATCCTAATTTAAGTGTGACTTTTTTAGTTATATATAATGTGTGAGTTTCAATTAAATAAAGTTGAGAAAAAATGTATTAAAATCGATATGAATCTGAAAAATATCGAATATTGTCGAACTACGTACCATTCCCGGTAATGTAGATAGGAGGATTTTCATAGTTTTCCTTTGTGTAGTTTAGAAGATAAAAAATCCCCGGCGGATAAACGGCGCAGAGCGGTGGTGTACCAAACTGCAAAACATTATAGAAATAAATTAATTTTGAGAATTAGATTTACATCTATTAATTACACTAAAATAATGCAAAAACCCCATGTTTATAATCTTCTTATCATAATATGATAAATGGTTAGAATGCTAGTTGTTCAATTAATTTTAATAATGTTTTTTTAATTATTTTTTTTAATCAAAAGGGTTCTTTTAAAAAAATATGTTTAAGAACAAATATAAAAATTTGGGGTTGGAGAGCAAATCCTGATAAGAAAAAATTCAAAACTAGTGCTACTTTAACTAATTGTAAATCCAGGCGTCTTGAGTTCGAATCTTAAAAACTCTTTAGGGGTCAGGCCACGAGAAATTTATCTGTCATGAGTACTCTAGTCCCGATGTGGAGGGCTTGCTTTTGATTGGACCAAAAAAAAGGTTTAATCGATATGTACGTAAACTGACTTGGATATCATTGATCGTTGAATCAAAAAAAAATTATTAAAAAAGAAAAAAAAACAAAGAGAAAGGAACATTTGAAACATTTTTCAAACTCTAAGCTATTAACTACTACTCCTATAACATGGGTTAAGATTAATACCAATACATTTTATTTCAATGCTAAATAATCTACCTTAAATTCAAATGAAACCTATTGTTTAAAATGGTTCAACAACCAAAATATGCCAAGTAATTTAGTATCAAAAAAATGGGGAAAAAAATTAATATTATCCCTTTACCAACCACGTCAATTTAGAACATAAATTTAACATTATGATGCAAATTATTCGATTGTTATTTAAATAGGAAACACAATAAAAGAAAGCGAGTAGAATATAAAGACCATACCGGCGAACCAATGGGAACCCCATTTCGCACATCTACAAAATCAATAATATTCATAAATTAGGTATTTTTTCCAAAAAGTAAAATTAATAAATTAATCAGGTTTGTTCAACATTGAATATTATAAGACCAGTTGGAACATATAAAAACTTACATGAAAGATTAACTCGGGAATCTGTAACGTAATTTGGAGGCATAGTAACATTAGCATCCTTTGCATATTTAGTAGTAAAATAGTTTATTCCTATAAAATCAAATGACCCAATTATCATGTGGGATTCGTTTTGTGAGAATTTGGGTAGTCTTTCTCCTACAAGAACTTGCATGCTTTCAGGATAGTGTCCATATGTCAATGGGTCCATAAACCTGAAATAGAAAACCACAAATAAATGTTAGGGAAAAACAGTGCTTCACTTTGATCCCCTCGACTATGACTCTGGTCCGATCTTGATTTTTCAATTATGGAGTTTACTTAAATTTTCCTGTTGACTATAACTCTGGTCTGATCTTGATTTTTTAATTATGGAGGTTCTTGAATTTTCTGTCAACTATTTACACTGATTAACGTGTCTTTATTGATCGAAAAAAACAAAAATTCTAAGAGGTTTGATCTTGTAAGTATTAAAGAATATTGAAATAGTGGAAGAGGAGCTAAATTACAGCAAATATAGATTATAGACGAAGGCATGTAGTAGTTACCATCCGTATGCGAAATCGAGGGCTCGAGATGCAGCTACGTTGTCTGGCTCACTACTGGAGTAAGGTACCATCCAAGATGAATCAAGTATAATTCCGATCTCCCCCTTTTGCTCTTGCTGCAATATATAAGAAAGATTTGAATGTGTATGTATATATTAGCATAGAAATAATTACATATTAAAAATGACAGCGTCGTTCTAATTTTATCCCCAATTACATATCAGAAAAATGACTTAAAAAATTAACTTAAAATACTTGACTTGATGATGTGAATGTTATATTTGTTATTAATTTAACTATAGGTCCCAGTATTTAATTGTGGATCATTTTAGCCACGTATCATTTGGGATCATGACAGCATTGTAAGGCACAAACACACAATCACTCGTAAATTACGTGTATCGGTTAAACTCGAGGTGTTTTTGTCCAATGGAAGTCGAACTCGGAATGTACCATCTCTTTTCTTTTGTTTGACCACTCCACCAACCTGTATTTTAGTTGTTTTTTTTTCTGGACCGTTGGTTAGGACTAACTAGAAAATCGTAAGTCTAAACAAGAACTTAGACCCATCCTAACAACAAATCACAGTAGTGGTGTAGGATGTACTGATCTGACCTGGAAATTTTGTTCCCTGTACAATTTGACTACAGCTGCATGAGCAAGGAGTACGTGGTGTGTGACCAAATATGGCTCAGCGCCCGAGTTTCCGCCATCGATGCAACCAGAACATCTGCCCGGTGCCCAAGTACCTCTGGCATACCCCATCTCGCTGAACATTTTTGGCGCATTAAATGTGGTCCAATGTTTCACCAACGGACCAAATTCCTTAAAGCAAACCTCTGCAAAATCTTGAAAATCTTTCCTGTTGATCACATTAGAATAGCGAAATCACAGTTCAACCCCCAAAAGAAATAGGTCAGATGATTAGGTTCAAAGAACATAATTATTGTAATATATATATATATTAGTCATTCTCTGTGCCTGAAAGCACTATATAACAAACAAAAAATTCTTACACAATTGTTTAAATTCAAAAAGAATAATTTAAAAATTTTCATATCAATTCTTCTTTTAAAATGAATTGAAATATATTGTCGATCATATCCTCCATATTAATAGAACTGTCGAAAAAAATATATAAAACTCTTCAAAACAATACTACATATACAAATGCCTCCGAAAAAATAAAAACAAATACTAACATAATCTATTGAAATTTACAATCTTTAAGTAATAAACGAAATTTTGCTCATTTATAAGTCTCATTTATTTATCACTTTTACCACCACTCAATTCAATAACAGAATATAATTATAAACACAATCATCATATTTTCAATCCACCTTATCCCTATGTAATAAATATCTCAAGCAAAAAAAAAAAAAAATACTAACATAATGCAATTAAATTCACAATTTTTAAGTGATAAATAAAATTAACAAAATCTTACTCATTTATAAAACTTATAAATGTATCACCACTATCTCCATTCAACCCCAACTGACACAATAAAATTATAAATTTAATTACCAAATTTTCAATCCTCCACATATAAATATAAACAGAAACATACTCTCACACATTTATTTTTTGACTACCAACAAACATTCTTAATCAATAACTGTTTTTATTAGAAATATAATAATTTAAGTTTTTATGATAAAATAATAATAAATTAATAACTAATTAAAAAATAGGGTAAAAAGTACAGACTTTCCCTAAGTTTTGATAATATTATGCAGGTACCCCAAAATATTTTATAAATAACACGGAGATTCCTGGAGTTTAAAATTTATTACACAGAAGCCTCATATGTCTCCGTTCCTTTAATATTGCTAACGAAAAGTGATGACTTTATCCTCAAAAAAAATTATTATTTTTATACTTGCCTTTCTCCAACTTTAGTACCCAAAAAAATTAAAAATTTAATAAAATAATATAAGATTTGATTTAGTACCCAAAAAGTTAATATAATTTAGTACCCCAAAAAAATTGATTAAATGAATTTTAATATTATTTTGATAACAATAGAAATCAATTTGATATTAATTCGACTAAGTAGAATTTAAATTGCACAAAATTAAATCTCAATTTCGATAAAAATATATATTAATTTATAATTTAAGGTTCATTTTGTGTTCAATATTATTTGTTGTTGATTAAACCAACATGAAATTGATCTTAAATTATAATTTTTTTTATCGTATATAAACTTAAAAATTTGTATTTTAACCCATAAAATTTAAATACAGATTTTTTCACACCATAGCATATTCTCTCTTATTGTATCATTTGATAAATTTTATTTTGGTCAAGATTCAATCACGCATACTTAAACCAAACCAATTGTTCACCCCCACTTTTTTTTTAAGAAAATCGTTCACCTCCGCTTGTTAAACTCAAAAATCTCTGGTTCACATGAAAATAAGTGAAAGTAAATTAAAAAGCTGACAAAACATTTTGAAAAATTGATAATTCAAAAAAATTTAGTACCAAAATTATAACAAATACATCAAACATTAAAAAAAAAGCTAAAAACATAATTTATGTAAAAACCATTATCAATGAGAATTTTAGAAGAATTTAGGCCCTGAATCAATTAAGACCTAATTTCAGGGAACGAAGTGAAACTTAGATAAAAAAGTTCTCAAATCGTGAAGTGCTATTTTTTATTTACATTAAGTGTTATTTACAAATTAAGAACCAAGTGACAAAATATATGTTGCCAGATATATAAAATTTTGAATTAATTTTATAGAATAAATATTGCATAACATGTAGTTTTATGTTTTTTATGGAGTAAATAATAAAAAAATAACACTTAAAAAAAACAAAAAAAAATAAGATAATAATATGTGAGAGAGAGACAAAGAGACAGAGAGATAGAAAGTATAAGATAGATATAAAGAGAGTTAGACGAGCGATAGGAGTCTTGAAAAAAATTGGCATGAGAACCGTCAGATCAATAATTGTCAAGCGATCGGAGCTACGAAAAGTTAAAGATAAAGAAATTTAGCTATTTTATTATATAGATATACAAGTCATTGTCCGTGTCTGAAAATACTATACAACAAACAAATAAAATTTTAAATAATTACTCAAATTTAAAAGGAATGACTCAAAAATATTCATACTAATTCTTTTTTTTAAAATGACTCAAAATATATTGTCGGTCATATCTTTCGTATTAATAACATTGTCATAAAAATATATAAAAACTCTCAAAAACAATACCAACACCATATATACAAATTTCTCTAGGAAAAAAAATACTAAGATAATCCCATTACAAGTTATAATTTTTAAGCAATATATAAAATCTTACTTATTTATAAAACTCATGAATTTATCATTTTTATTACCACTCAATCCAATAACACAACATAATTAAAAAATCGACCATTATATTTCTAATCCACCCTATCCCCATGTACTAAATACCTCAAGCAAAAAAAAAATGCTAATAGAATACAATTAAATTCACAATCTTTAAGCGATAAATAAAATCAATCAAATCTTACTCATTTATAAAATTTATAAATTTATCACTATTATCTCTATTCAACCCTAAATGACACAATATTATTACAAATTTAATCACTAAATTTCTAATTCCCCACATATAAATATACACAGAAAAACACTCACATACATTTTTTTTTTGGTTACCAAAAAACCCTCCTAACCAATAAATACTCAAGTTTTTAAGATATAATAATAATAAATTAATGTTTAATTAAAAAATGGAAAAAAAATCATGGACATTCCTTGAGTTTTGACAATATTACATAGACAGCTTCCAACATTTTATAAATAACACGGAGACCCATTGAAGTTTGAATTCATTGCCTATAGACCCATTTGTCTTCCTTCTGTCAATGTCACTAATGAAAATTGATAATCTCATCCAAATTTTTTTTTATTATTTTTACAATTGGCCTTCTCTAAATTTAGTACCAAAAAATTAAAAATTTAATAAAATCAAATAAAATTTAATTTAGTACCCAAAAAATTGATTAAATGAATTTTAATATTAATTTGATAACAATAAAAATTAATTTGATATTAATTCGACAAAGTTTAATATAAATTGAAAAAAATTAAATGTCAATTTTATATAAAATTATATATTGATTTACAATCTAAGGTTCATTTCATGTTGAATATTTTTTAGTGTTTATAATCAATGTGCTATTTTTTTTAATTATATTGAGTGTTATTTATAAATGAAGATGTAAGTGGCAAATTACATGTTGTTATATATATAAAAAATTTGAATTAGTTTTATAGAATAAATAATTTTATAAGATATAGTTTCAACTGTTTTATGGAGTAAATAATAACAAAAATAACACCGAAGAAATAAAAAATAATAATAGTATGAGAGAGAGAAAGAGAGAGAGGGAGAGAGAGAATTATGTGAGAGTTGGGAGTCTTAGAGTTATACAAAGAATGAAAAACTAATTAGGACCATCGGATCAAAACAATCTAAGACGCGAAAAGCTCAACACAAACAATCTAGCTACTTTATTATATAGATAATAAAATAGTTAAGAAAATTTTGTCTTAAACTTTTGGCGGTTTAGATCACTTAACGATTATTGATCCACCGGTCTCCATGCGAAATTTTTCTAAGACTTTTATCTCTTATCTAATGCTCTCTCCCTATCTCATACTAACTGAGACAACTCTCTCTCCCTCTATCTCATACTCTCTCTCTTATATCTCATACGTTTTAAACACACATTTTCTCATCTCTTGAACGGTTATATATTTAATAATAATAAAATACATCTAATACCCATTAAAAACTCTAATAATAAGGATTATTTTTAACAAATTATAGGATCATTAACCTATGTCATGAGCCCGAAATTTTATTTAGGATGAGCACTTTAAATATACGCTCTAATTTTTTCCTCCTAACCAATCACACTATATAATATATTTATGTTTATTTTATCATATTTGATGCATGAATTCTATTTAACATTTAAAGGTCAAAAAATAATATACATTGTATATGTATACAAAATTGACTAATTATCACCATTGTAAAAAAAATGAAGTTAATTGTCATTTTTATAATTAAAAAATATCATTTATTCACTAATAATCTATTAAATTTAATTAATAAACGATGTTCTAAACATTATCACTAAAATATTAGCATAGTAAAACTATTAAACGAAAATTTACAAGGTAAACATATTAAAAAATAAAAATCGATTGGCACATAATAAAGACTATAATTAATACTCGAATAAAAATAAAAGACAATTTTTCGTAAAAAAATAAAGTCAAATGAAGATCAATTGAAAGAACTTTCACTTGTAAAAATTCATAATAAAATGGAGGTCATATGAAAAAAGCCTTCTTATAATAAAAAAAAACTAAATAATGTAAATAAGAAAATTATAGAGTAAACACAAGTAAAAAATACGTGTAGAATATATAAATATAAATATACATATCATATTTTTAAAACAATTTGAGGGTGGGCACGCTCCTATGTAGTTTTGTCCATTTATGTCATTCTATATATATTTATCTATCTATATCTATATCTATATTTATATGATCCTAAGTAGATTTTCATTTCTTTTACATCTCTCTCCTATCTCTCACACATTTTAAACACACACTCTTATCTTTCGTATAATTCTATCTTTCTATCTACTTCATACTCTCTCTCTCACACACATACACACACTCTCTCTATCCTAAATGTATATAATAATAAAATAATAAGAGTTGAAGAACTTAGCTTGAATGGCTTTATATATCTAATAATAACAAAATATATCTAATACTCATTAAAACTCTAATCTCTCTATATCATACTCTCCTCTCGCATAAGTTTATCTCATGTCTCATATAACTTTCTCTCTTTATACACCCGTCAATACACACACACTAATATCGACTCCTACCAAAAACGAAGAAGAAAATATTTTTTAAGTATAATGATTAAATATATAAATTGTGTACATATTGATATTTTTTAGGGGTCGTATTTTTAGAGAAGTTTTGTCAAAATTGTTTAGAAAATAGTGTTTTCAAATTTATTTTGAATTGTGCAACTAGAAAAAATAATAAAAAATAAAGTACTGTTTAAAAATATTTATATTGTATAACCGGTGCTCGAGATTTTTAGAGTTACTTAATGCCTTTAGGCATGAGTTATTACTAGTACAAAGTAAAAAAACTATCATTTTTTGTTTTTAATTTTTTGCGACTGAGATTGCTTTAAGATTAATTATTTGACAGTCCTAATTGATTGCATTGTTTAATAAGACACTTTCATTTTTTTTTTTACGACTCTATGACTTATCTCACATATAACTTTCATACTCCCACCTCTCAAACGTTTTAAAATTCAAACACACACACTATCTCTCCCCCTCTATATCTCATATCTCTCGTAGGTTTATTTTTCATATAATCTTTCTCTCATACTCTCATATCTCAGACTTTTAAAATTCAAAAACAGACTCTCTCTCTACTATCTCTCTCTCTCTCTTTCCAATGACCAAAACTCCTCCTCCAAATATTTTCCAGCCCAATAATTTAAACAGACCTATCACTCCAGGGCTCTAAAGACTTATCTCAACTTGAAATATATCTCTCCAACACTCTATCTCTCAGACTTTACGTTCACACTCTAAATACATCTCTCCCATACGTATTGGTCTCTCTCTCTTCCCCCAGTTGCCATGGTGCCACCATCACACACATACCCCTCTCTCGCTTGCTCTCTATTTCTCTTCCAAAGCAAAATCCATATTTATTTACCATGCATTTGTAAGGATTCATTTATAAAATGGGTCCTACTTGAACTTGTGATAAATGATTAATCATTGAGAAAAAGTGTACAAGAAGAAATTGAAGGACGACAAAGTGCACTTGTAGTCCCTAAAACATGCGACACTTGTGATCACATGTCATTCTTTTAGATGATCACCTATCAGTCAGATAATTATTTTATTAAAAAAAATTAACGGATTGTCTGAGTTGGGATCATTCAAATATGAATTGAACATTTTATGATCAAATTAACAAACTTGATACAACAAAAACCAAATATATGAAAGTCTTAAATTATAGGGATCATAATTACACTTTGTCCAAAGAATTATAAGTCACTTACACAATTTGGCGATCTCGAAAACCACCATAGTCATCTTCTAAGGGTTGGGGAACAGTAAAGTGGAAGAGATTCACAAAGGGCTCTATACCTGCGTGCATGTAATTAAGATTGTCATTATTGCATGAACTAAATAAAATGAAATGAAAATCAACGGCGGGGGGAGAGAGAGAGAAAGAGAAAGAGTCATAAACCGTTATATTTGAGTTCATATATGAGATTTTNGAGAGAGAGAGAGAGAGAGAATCATAAACCGTTCTCTTTGAGATCATGTATGAGTTTTTTGTAGTGCTCTATTCCTTTATGGTTCACACCTCGACCACCATTTGACTTTCCACCTGAGGCTCATTGCATTATNGAGTCATAAACCGTTATATTTGAGTTCATATATGAGATTTTTGTAGTGCTCTATTCCTTCACGGTTCACACCTTGACCACCATTTAACTTTCCACCTGAGGGTCATTGCATTATTTTCGGGTCATAACCGGATTGATTTCCCAGATTCGCTAAATAAATAAGTCACTACGAACTTAACATAAACTGGTTAAGAGTTACTTACACGACAAGAATTTAATACGATAAGAACCCTTATTATATACAACTTGAATAGATCAAGAACGAACTAAACAAATTTAAACATGATAAGCCATAGACACTATATGAATCTAATTCACAACATGAGTTAGGGGTGTTGATCGAGACGAATAACTCGGGCTCAATTCGAATAAGACTTAACTCAAGCTCAACTTATATTCTAAATGAGTTAAGTTTGAATAATCTTTTGGACTAACGAGCCAAAAAAGACTCACTCGAACTCGTAAAATTCAGTTCGTTTATATGTAAAATAGTTTGACTACTAAGTTTGACTCATTTTTTTAATAAGTCAAATTTAAACAATTTTTAAGATTCTTTAAAAAGTCAAACTCAATAAACTTCAACTCAAACTTGTAAAAATTGGGTCGATTAACACCTTAACACGAGTTATGGGTAGCCGTAGCCCTACTTTCATGCTTAAATGCTCATAAATGCGGTGAAAATCTGTGCTTACTTGGCAATATTCTGGACCATTCGATTTGAAATCTATAGGCATCTAAACCCATGAACTTCATGGCCTCCACATCTACCTGCAACAGGATTCAAAAGATTACAACAAAATTTCCGAATTATTAGAGAGAATTAGTGTACGCCCTTAAACTGTTTTAAGAAAAAGGGAGAATTACACTTACACCCCCTGAGATGTATCACTTAATCATTTAGACCCTTGATATTTGAAATATTATACACAGACTCCCTGGGGTTTATACGCACATAATACTTAGACCCCTGCTGTAAATATATCCATTAATAAATTACACTTAGACCCTCTGAAGTTTGTAGGTATATAATACTTAGACTCCTTAAGTTTAAAATATTATACTTCCACCAAAAATACATCAATCAAATATCAAATATCAAATATTTTAAATTTTACAACTAAAATTTATGTTCTATTGTATCATTTATTGAAATAAAATTAAAATTAAAAATTTAATTTTTTCTTAAAAAATCGTAATTAGTATACAATTATACTATCTATTAGAATAAAATTAAAAAATCAAACAAGGGGTCTAAGTTATTCATATTAGAACATGAATTTTACATCCAAAATTTATGTTATATTATGTCATTTATTAAAATAAAATCAAAAATAAAAGTCTAATTTTTTTAAAAAAAAATATAGTTAGTATATAATTATATTATTTATTATAATAAAACTAAAAAATTAAATAAGAAGTCAAACAGTAATGGATACAAAATATTTAGCTTTAATTGTGATAGTTTGGTATATTAATTTGGTCGTTAATTAAATTCCAATAGACAATAAAATTGTATACTAATTATAATTTTTTAAGAAAAAAATTTAATTTTTATTTTATTTCAATAAATGATACAATAGAACATGAATTTTAATTGTAAAATTTAAAATATTTGATATTTTATCTTTCATTAGAGTATATTTGGTCTAAGTATAATATTTTAAACTTAAGGGGTCTAAATATTATATACATACAAATTTTAGAAGATCTAAGTATAATTTATTAACTGACATATTTATATTATGGGTCTAAGTGTTACGTGCGTATAAATCTCAGAGGGTCTGTGTGTAATATTTTAAATATCAAAAACTCTGAGTGATTAAATAACAAACCTCAAGAAATTCAAATATAATTCTCCCAAAGAAAAAACGATGTGACCTTTTTTTACCTGATGGCTGATGGCGATGATAAGAATCAGCGGCTATTTTTCCATTAGTATGATCTATTATTGCACCTGCAATACCATAGAAGAACTTCACATCTCCTCAACTTGCTCAAATTTCGTCAAAGTATTATATCAACATATTGTTAACCACCAAAACAAAGAACTTATTGTATATACTACTACTCAAAAGGGTTGCATGTGACGTGTACATGCAATAATTACGTCTCGTCGTTAATCCAATCGTAATAATGAGCTAAATCACTCAATTATGTCGATAAATTAAGTAAAAAAAGAAATATCTTTAGCCACGTGCTTGTTGTCAAAATATGGCCATTTTAGGTCAATAGACCACATAAATTCTATAAAGCAAACATTATTAAATAAACACGAGTTAATACTGGAATTATGGGCTGTTGTGAACATCGACGGTGGAAGCTTGGTCGAATGTTATGGTCGAATTTTATTCTGCTGTTTGAGATATTTTTGTAATATTACTTATTTGCTTGGTTTTTCTAGTAATTTAGAACCATTAGAGTTTTGTATTTATATTGTGTTGAAAAACTGATTTAGCCATGTGGGTAAATAAACTAATAAACAAATTCTCTTTTTCTTCCAATTAATTTGGTATTTTTCGTGAATCAAATTGTTGAAAGCTTTAATATGATATTATTACGATAATCAACAGGTTGAAGTTTCTGATGTTTAATCTCGTTTCTTTATTTACACTACCCTGCATCACAGAGAGAGATTTCTTTTTAAAGTTTATAGTTTCCGGTGCTTCACAAATAGGCTTTGTTATTTTAGAGAGAGAGGGAGAGACCTGGATATTTCTCTGTAAAAGTATCCCATATATGTGGACCTTTACCTCCCTCATCGTATGCACCTTCATACTGAAAAACACAAATGATAAAACAAGCTTCACCACACACGAAGGAGGAGCACTTAAATTAAATCATGATGAATAGCAAAAAGGACACAACTAATTACCTGATAAGAAGATGATGATGCACCAAATACAAATCCACGTGGAAAACTACCACGGTTGAGCTCATTATGGGGATCACATGAAATTATTGTAGGAGGCCATGGAAGATGAGTTTCATTTTCATTAAAAGCTTCGACAGAAGTAGCAAGAACAAGAAGACATAGAGCCAGATAGCCCAGAGCTGCCATTACTGATTTTTTTGTGCTGTGCATGTCTCTGCAATCTTGCCTTTATATATAGCATGACAAGGAGACCAAAACAAAAATATTGGTACTCAAAAGTCTCCAAAATATTAAATGTAATGGTGGCCTCAGTGTCACGGGATGTAATTATAAAAAAATAAGTAGGCAATTGAACGACAAGATTCAATAATTACCCATATGAAGAAATATGATTCATTTGATCTATTTTCTAAGTTTTATTTGACAGTGACACCATGTGACACTCTTCACTTGGTATAATTGTTACATTCACATTTACTCCTAACGATGATACTAAAAAGTTATTTTTTCAGTAGTATACATCTTTTTTTTTAACCAATGAGAATGTGAAATATGTAAAAGTCTCATATTTATTTTTTTATTTTACTTCATATTTTAAGTAGGTGAGTCTTGACATAACGATAAAGTTATTCTATTCTGACCTAGGTATCAATTGTTCGAATTAAGAAAGAAGTTTCTCTGCTCGCAGAATATGGCTTAATACATATGACTCATCTCAAGCCCCGTGGTGGTGGAAACCGGGAACCTCGTGCATTAGGCCATTTTTTTTGCTTTAGTTTATATTTTTATAATCAAATGTCACAAATAAACTAATCAGAGATCTACGATCAATAAACCATTTCCCCATATAGTACCCAAAAAAAAAAAAATTGGTACTGTAACCTAATCCTAGTACTCCAACAAGGGGCCACAATGGAAACGGAAATTACTATTAACTAATTTTTTACTCCCTATCAAAGGATTCCGGGGGGAGTAGGTTAGGCAATGGCATAAATTTCAATATTATTTGTACGAAAACAACTACCCTCATCTTCTGCCAATTAAGTGGATGTCAATGTGACTCACAAAAACGAACTAGTAGTTGCAATGCATGCAACAATAGATGATCAAAATTTAAGAAATTTGGATTCAATGGGATCTAGAATGATCCCATTGAATCGGGTTAGATTGCTTATCAAAATAATATGCCCAAAAAATAATTAAACCAGTAAGAGACAACGCGACTGAGAAAGTTTTCTCTCAATCCAATTGAACCGTACACATGCATTCTGGTAATTTAGGTTTTGATCAAAATCTCGGCGTTATTTGTTAAATCTGTCAATAAAATTATTTAAACTTAATTTATTGACATAATTTTATATAGTTGTTATTGACAAGTGGACGACATCTCATAATGGAACTCAATGTTAATCTAACGATAACCAAAAATTAGATCAGTAAATTTATTTTAAATACCATTACTCTAAGGAACAGTAAAAAAATACATTATTAAAGAATAAACATGTTCAACTATTCATAGCTGTTTCATTTGAAGTCAGTTGCAGAATAACCGATGACACCTCCCCGACGCCATACTCGGTAGCTGTAGCTTTGTTGCACGGCGCACTGCTACTTCAGCCTCCGTTCAAATCTCCTATATTTATTGAGTTTTGCTTATCGAATTAAAATTTGGGTCTAAATTTGAATTTGTGAGAAATGAATTAATAGGTCGTTTATCTGAATCAATATCTATCATATCTTAATTTGAAAATTGGGATCGAAAATATTTGATATCAAATCTTGCATTTATTAGGTCCAATACAAGATTTGATATCAATATTTTTTATCCCAATTAGGTCCAAATTATATATATTGATGATACCTCAGAATAAATCTCAAACGCCAGCTCAGAAGGTCAGCTCAGCCCAAGAGGTCAGACTAGACGAACAGAACTTTGAAGAGTAGAGCTGAAGGTCCCTTCGAGATAAGCAAGGGCAATAACAACTAAGGCAACAACTGGAAGATCACGAGAGGTTCCTAAAAGCATTATGAAACAATAATCAAGAAACCTAATCGCAAACAACCAAGAACTTCTCCTAAAATTAAGGAGAACCCCACGAAATAAGGGCAAGAATCTCGGTCAAGATCCCACTGAATAAGAAACAGCCCTATAAATACTATGTAACGCCCCCAAGGAGGGCAGAGGACCCTGGTATCATATATTACAGTCTGTAAACTTTTTGGTATAGTAAATAGTGAAAGAAGGAGCAAGAATCTCCATTGAATGGTGAATTAGCCGAACTCCCGAGTTGGTGAACCACTATAATTTCACTGTGTACACCCCTTTAATCCCCTAAATATCATATTGTAGCATCATACACGAGTCTTGAAGCTTTAATTCATGCTCATCTCACGTTACATGTATCTTAAGCTGATTTTCCAGTGACTGATGGTATTAACGCGAAACATGAGCCGAAGTCAGACCAATCCTCTACGGATGTAAGATCAACAGGAAGCCGCGAATAACAGGCAACCCGAAAATGCTCAAGAAGCAGATCTCCCCATGGGAGGCCTTCCCATGAATGATGAGATGGAGGCCCTTCGTCTTGTCAATGAACGTCTAATAAAATAGAACGAAGAGCTCTTAAAGCTCCTACAACGCTCATCGGAGGCACGACCGGCCCAAGGAGGCTAGAATAACCCACCACCAAGAGAGCAACTGCACCTCGACCTTCTCAGAGAAGTTAATGAGGTGGGAGAGAATAGTCAGACCTTCAGACAAGAATCTCGACTACCCCTTAGGAATGGACACAACGAGGAAGCATAAAGTCAGTATAAGGAAGGGGAGAGGAGCGACTTCTTTCCTTATCAACAGGAGAGAAGAGAACACTACTGGGAGCAACGTTTCAAAGACATCTAGCAAGAGCTCAGCCAGATGAAGGAGGCAGTGAAGAGCAAGGCCCCAATCACTATGGATGCCTTGGTGTAGCAAACTGAATCCTCATTCATTACTGGGGTGCTGCACTTCCCTCTCTCATCTAAATTCAGAATGCCGCAGGTGGATGCTTTCGATGGGACAAAAGATCCAATAGACCACCTCAACACCTACAAAAATCAAATGGAGTTGCATGAATATCAAGATCTAGTGAGATGCAGGGCATTTGCTATCACCTTAAAGGGCTTAGCCTTGGCATGGTTCAACAGACTCCCCCCAGCCTCGATTTTCTCTTTTAAAGAGCTGTCAATCTCGTTTGTGTCCCACTTCATTGGAGCTCGGACCTATAGAAAATCGAGCTACCATTTGTTAAATGTGAAACAGGGACCTGATGAGAACCTACGGTCTTATGTCCAATGGTTCAACTCAGAATCCTTGAAAGTGGATGTCTCAGACGAAAAATTTGCTATTACAGCCTTCATAGCAGGTGTGGGGGTTCAGTCAAAAGACCTGATATTTTCTATCTCAAAGAACCCCTAGGCTAGTATGGCGGAGGTGCTCGCCAAAGTAGAAAAGTACATAAATGGTGAGGAAGCGCTCCTCTCCAAGGTTAGGGGCTCTTCGTCGAGAAATAAGAAAGGGAAGGAAGAAAAGAAGAGAGAACGAAGTCCCAGAAAGGAAAGAGAACGAGGCAAGTCTCCAAGAAAAGACAGAGAGCGTTTCCTAAAGAGAAGGAGAAATGTTAGGGATCGCCTCGGCTCTCCACAACCAAAGTTATAACCGAGGTATGCACCCCAGCAGCTCACCCCCTGACTGCTATAGTGTCTCAGATACTGTATGAGGTGCAAAATGAGAAGTTCATTAGGTGGCCACCCCGGATGAAAGCAGACCCGACAAAAAAGGATCCTACAAAATATTATGACTTCTACAGAGACCATGGTCATCATACCGATGACTGTATCCAATTGAAGAGGAAAATAGAATTTCTAATCTGGCGAGGGCAACTACGACGCTATGTGGCCAATGATAATCAAAATCGAGTTCTCCCATCCCCACCCCCTTAGCGTCAAGCACCAGAGCCACACCAGTAACCTATGGGGGATATCAGAGTGATATCTGGAGGATTTGTCGGAGGAGGAGGATTCAGCTCTACCAGAAAGACCCACTTGCGAAAAATCAGAGCCACAGAAGCTCCTGAAGTATATACTTTGTCTAAATCTCCATGCTTAGACACGGTTATCACTTTCTCAGATTCAGATCTGGAGGGCTACCAACATCCCCACGACTACCCATTGGTGGTAAGAGTTGTGGTGGCCAACAGGACTATCCATCGTGTTTTGATTGATAATGGCAGCTCGACAGACATCATTTTTCCTTCTGCTTTCGACAAAATGGATATAGGAAGGAAAAAACTTGAACCAGTAAGTGTCCACCTATTGGGATTCTCAGGAGAAAGGGTACTGCCCCTGGGATCAATTCAACTTATCTTGACCTTAGGTGACCCACCCTATCAGACTACTATAGTTGTGAAATTCCTAGTGGTTGACGCACCTTTAGCATACAATATAAGGGTTATTCTCTCTGTCTATCACCTTGTAGTGAAGTTTTCAACAGAAAACGGAGTTAGAGTGGTCTGAGGAGACCAGCGCGTAGCACGGGAATGCTACATGGCATCCATGAGAAATAAGGAGGTTGAGAGCATCCAATTGGATGAGCTTGACATGAGGGATGAACTTGAGAACAGGCCAACAACATCAGAAGAGCTGGAACCTATTCAAATTGATAAGGAGCCAGAGCATCTTGTTTACGTTGGATCCAAGCTGAGCAAAGAGATCAAGGATCTCCTCATCCAATCCCTTAAAAGGAACAAGGAAGTTTTTGCAAGGAAGCAAAAGGACATGAAAGGGATTGATCCCTCTGTCATCACTCACAAGCTCAACGTGAATCCAGCCTGTAAGCCCATTAAGCAGAAGAGGAGGAGCTTCGCCCCGGAGCATCAGAAAGCCATCAAANGCCCATTAAGCAGAAAATGAGGAGCTTCGCCCTGGAGCGCCAGAAAGCCATCAAAGACGAGGTCAGCAAGCTCCTTCACGCAAAAGCCATTCGAGAAGTGGATTACCCAGTCTGGCTAGCCAATGTAGTCCTAGTCAAGAATACAAACGACAAATGACATCTTTGCATTGACTTTACAGACCTCAACCGTGATTGCCCGAAAAATAGTTTTCTTTTACCCTGGATAGATTTGATTGTAGATGCCACTGCGGGACATAAG